AGATGCAGATGAAGATGATGATGATGATGGGGATGAGAATGAACTATGTGTACAGTCAACACCACCATATTATGAAGAACAGTAATAATGAGCCAATGACAGATCTCTTGGTCTTAATGCTAGGCCACTGCTTGTTTGCTTTCTTCAATGTAAGTGCACAACCCTGTTTTAGTCAAATCCTTCATTCTCATTTAGCTTTATCTTCAACTAATTTCAGTAACTTTTCTTTTGCTATGGTTATTTAGCATAGAAGGATCTATAGTCTGATGCACTTCAAAAACAATTTATAGAAGGATATTCATTTTAATATTTGATTGTAATATATGTTTGTGGGGAGTGAAATCAGTTACAAGCTTCATACTCTTATAAAGCATGTTAAAAAATTAAACATTGTGTTGCAACAAGATTGTGAAGTACTTACATTCGTGATATAGGATTTTTTGGTTAGTTAGACTCTATGGTAGCAATAAGAGTGCAAAAGATCATGATCAGGAACATAAAATTTTTATCTTTGTCAAAAAACCCATATCTTACTTTACGTGATTTTTCAATATTTAAGTGAGTATTGAAACTTTTCTTTTATAGAACAGACCTGAGTACTAACATCTCTTTTACGGTGCTTACAAGTTACAGCATTCTTTAAAATCAAGAAACATGTGCTGCCACTTGTGAACTTGTCCTTCATACTTCGTGCAGAATTCAATTGAATCTCCTGGACCCACGCGGCCCAGCTTCAGATTTTCATGCAGAAATTCCCAAAGTGTTTTTCTAGGGATTAGGGAAATTCTCCTCACAATTTTCTTTGGAAAAGCAAACTAAAAATCAAATCATGTTATCTGAATTTCAGCTATTGTGCTCTTTCATTTAGTTCCATGCACTGAACAATGTTACATTGCACCTAACATTACAATTAGCATGTCAGTTTCAGTTGTTGTGGTCTTGTCTATTTAGAGTTCTAGCTTTTTCACAAAATGGAGATCTTTGAATGTGACATAACAAGTATGAAAGGATAAATGAGTTAAACAAATGCCAACTTCGTAAGTTGTATAACAGGTAAACGGATTGGTGACTGATCCTAGAATGGACATGGGTTGTTATCTATTACCACAATTTTGCAATAATTATAGCTAATAGTTGCTTGTTAAAATATGAAGCAAATCTCATTTGACTTTTAGTGGATGTTCTCCCTTACAGAGTTCAGGTCCTTGATAGTGTTTCGTGAGCCAAGGACAGTTGTAGTTTTGCTTGGAAGATCATTAGCCATTGAAGGTTCACTGTAAATACATTTTTGGGGAAAATCGCCAATCTTATCTAGTGCCCTCAGATTCAAGGGGAAGGGGTATATTTAAAGAGTTGCAATATGCTTGGTTGTTATCTTTTTACTTGGATGCCTTTATCCCATCCAACAAACTACCTTTCTAGGTTTCTCCAGAAAAGCTGATGGTACCTACCATTGGGAAAAGGCATGGAGTTAGCAAGTTAAAATGGTTGTTAAGCTTTGTAAATGCCTTCAACTAGATTTGATGTTCTGAGATTTCCCCAGCCTTAGGTGCTACATATTAGTCTGGTATAGATTCCCATTAGCCAGGCTTTCGAGTTCAAGCATTTATAATTCACCCTATTACTTATCCAAGATTTGGACAATTTTAATCATCGGATTGAGGATTTTGGGGTTTTCCTGGATGTTGAATCTAGAATCTTGGAAATCTACAGATGGGGTCCAGTAGTTGTTCATGGCTGCCCAAGCCATTTAAGGATTTCTGGGTTCAATTATTCATTCTAGCATGATCCCTGAATAATGCTTACATGCCAGGATGTCATAGAGCTTATCATTGATCCAAACATGTTTATTGATTTCTAGGCAGGTTTTTTTGAAGATCTTAGAATACAGGATTCAGATACTGATAGAAATTTTTATTTTCCTTTGTGACAACTTGTGCTGTTTCATCTTGTGAATCTATGATTTAATTATAGAGTGTGATCTTATAAATGTGAAAAAATAAAATTTTAAAAATCATTTAAAATAAATAATTTAAAAATTATGAATATTTATTTTTAAGCATTCTCAACTTTCAAATTTATTTATTAACTGAAAATATTTAATTAAGTGTAAGTGTGTAGGTACAGTGTGAACCTATAGAAATATGATGGGATTGAAGGAAAATCTACAAGGTCAGAAGGTTAGTACAACTAGAATTGTTTATAGATATAAGTGGGGCTGTTTGGTAAGTGGGAAAGTTAGATGGTATTTCTTTCAATTGGTTGTTGTCTTTTTTTTTCTCTCTTCATCATCATCATCTTAATTCCAGCTTAACCATACCTAAGATGAGAAAATGATAAGAAAATGTTGCTGCAGACCAAGAAAAAGAGAGAAAATAGTTTTTAATTGTAAACTATGAGAAATATACTAACGTTCAATTCAACTTTAAAAAATCAAAAGAATAAATGGATTTTATTATTATATGAGAAAAGATTGATAGGAGCCAGCTGGCTACGAAGAGAGTTTGGTTTTGGGGACGCGCAAACACCGTCTTGGTGATCTGTGTTGGGTCCCACGTCCTTTAACGGCTACGTGCTGATTACGTCGGCGCTAACGACGTTTCGAATTTATTAATTTACTGACGTTTTCTCTTTTCCGCTGAATATGTTTTTTTTTTTTGCGTTAATAAAATATAAATAAATGTAAAATTCTTGTAGCCGTTGTTCGTGTCATTGTTTTGAATTGTTTTTCTTGGCGCGTAGGAGTGGAAAAGCTCTTTAATTACTCCTCATTTTGAATACAATTTGATAATACAATACGAGAATGATAACTGATGTAACTGAAATTGGACCTAAAGTTATCATATTTTATATCTTAAATGTGAAAATGTTGATAAATTTAAATATGAAATTTTCATATTTTAAATATATTTAGTTTATTTATTTATTAATTATTTTATCGTGTTAATTCATATAATATGATTTGTTTGATTTGTTTATAATAATATTCATTTAAATAGGTTAATTATATTTAAATAAATTTATCGTATCATATAAAATATAATCTAACTTATTTAATAAATGAGTTGATTGTATTATGTTGTGTAACAAGTAGTGTTAGATTTGTATTTATTTATATAATTAATAATATTTTACTTAAATAAACATAATTTTGATCCAACAATTCAAATTGTTTAGTTTAGTTCAGAGTTGAAAGGTAAGAAGTATAAAAAAAAATTCTAATTAAAGAATGTTTATAAATTAAAAAATAATATTTTAATTATAAAAACATTTTTATTAATATCATTGCCTTGTCAAATTAACTTCTTGCATGCTTTCCACGTTAATTTTTTTTTAATATTTTTGTGAAACCTGATGTTGCATATGGTTGAATGTTCAACATGATCAGTTCATCACATGTAAGTGGATATCACGTTTGATTTTTATTTTTATTTTCGTTTCTCAGTCTTGTTAGAGGGTTTGAATGTTTCATAACATCTTAAGTGCCACGCATGTGCTAAGTGTAAAAAAAAGTAGTCAACCCTCCAACACTCAACAGCTTTCAACAGCGTCTGTCAAATCATCATAAAGTCAAAATCTTGATATTATAAAATTTAAAAGTGAATTTTACTTAAATTTTGAAGATTTTATTATTTTTTTAAAATAATTTTTTGTGAATAAGTTTTGTTTTTAAAAAGAATTTTATCGAAATACTTTTAATTGAAAAATTATTTTATTTGTTTACATTTAAGAGTGTCTTAATTTTATTAGAAAAAATTAACTGTATAATTTCTTTCGAAATTAGGGATTTATTTTAAATAAGGAAATATAAGTCATTATGTAAGAAAGTTGAAATCAATAAGGGCTCAACTTGATTTTTTTTAAATATTTATTACAAATTTATAAGAAAAGTGTGCAAATTGAGATTAATTTTTTTAACTAAAAATTAGTAGTACAAGCAACAAACGGTAACGGTAACGGGAATGTGGTCAGGATTAGGAAAGAGCAACGTGCTTGGGCTAACAGATTCTTGGCTGAAGTTTTGGAAATGGAAGGATGCTAACCTAAACCTTGGATGCCGTCTTTCCTCTTTCTTTTTTAGACTTTCTTTTTCTTTCATCATTAATTTTGTTTTCTTCTCTCTCTCTCTACCAAAACAAACTGTGTAAGAAAGCGAGAGACAAGCGGTCAACGAAAAGGGCTGGACTTATGCTTTAGCCCAATGCTTTCCTTTTAATATCCAAGTTGCCATTGTCTCCTATGTTCCTACTTGTTCAAGTCAATGCTTCTTTTACGTGAAAACTAGTCTTTGTTTTCCTTAACATGTATATTGCAATATAAGCTGTTCTCGAAGTCAAATCTCTTGTGTAAATCGAATTTATACTTCTTAAAAATACAAGAGCTCATAATTTTAAAAAAAAAATACAAGATCTCATTTAGTCTTGTGTTTAGAGTGTCAAAATATACTTTTGATTTTAAAGATGTTTATGATAAATTATTAATATTTCTTGTAATGTGAGTGATAAAATTAATATATAATATTTATTAAAAAAAGATAAACATTTAAAAAACATAATCACATTATAGTTAATAAAGATAATCATATTGCAATCAAACCAAACCCATGGTTATTTGTTTCAAAAAGTTTCGTTTTTGTCACAATTTTTTAATCAATTGTTAATTTTAAAAATTTTTTATATTCAATTGTCAAATGCGCTTTTAAGTATAAAATGAATAAAAAAGCCTTTTATTTTTTGAATATTTTGAATATAATATTAAAATTTAATGCATTTGAAAAAATAATTTAGTGAGAATATAATTATTTAAATTTTTGTTTAAATCAATTTTAATTTTTTAATAGTACTATTAGTAACCCAAAGCAGACAGCATAACCAGGGTTCCATCCTATTAGTAAATCAATGGCATATCTGTAATAAATAACAAAGTCAGTGTCATTTATGCTGACCATATTACAAATAAGTGCCAACTGGCTCTTAACCCCTCCTTTATTTTAAAAACGCAAACAGGGAGAATTAAAAACAAAGCCAACAGACAGAAGAAGGCTGAGAAGAGAGGAAACAAAAGAAAGAGAAACAGCTGCAGCAACTCACAGCAGAAAGCAAAGGAAGGGAAACCCCAGAACTCAGAGCAAAGAGCTGAGAGGTTTTGAATTTGTCAAATGGCAGTTAATTGTAAGCTTCTCGTGATCTGCGCCATGATCATCACGGCGGTGGTGGCGGCGACGACAACGACCGTCGATGCGAGTGGGGAGCACCAGCCGATTCTGGGTTGGATACCGACCGGATCGCCATGCAAGGGTTCCATAGCCGAGTGCTTAGCCGGGGAAGAATTGCAGCTGGACTCCGAGATCAGCCGGCGCATTTTGGCGACCACCAAATACATCAGCTACGGTGCGCTGCAGAGGAACACCGTGCCATGTTCCCGACGTGGCGCTTCCTATTACAATTGCCAGCCCGGAGCTCAGGCTAACCCTTACAGCCGTGGTTGCAGCCGTATCACAAGGTGCAGGAGCTGAGTTTTCTTTAAATTTCTTTTGCATTTTCCATTTTTTACGACCTTTTTTATTATTATTTTTATTTTTTTTATGGGAGGGAGGAATGGGTTTGATTGTTACCATACATGAAGAAAGCACAAAGAGCAGATAGGGAGGTGGCTATGGCGGATGGGTCTTTGTTGTTATTGGTGAAAATATTATTGTTATAATTTTTATTTTTAATTTTTAATGTCTCTTGTAAAAGATTATTGTTACTACTATTATACTTCTTTTTTTCCCCTCGAGTTCTCTTTCTCTTTTTCTTTTCCTTTTTTTTTTGGGTCTTAGGGTAATTTTATGATTTATTCATTGTTTAAAGAAATGTAATTTTTTCAATTATAAAAAAAATTAATTTATTTTCTATGTTTTTTATGATTAATAATTGGGTTGTATTTTGTAAATGGTTTCAATTCTTTTAAAAAAATTAAATTTTAATAAAACTTTAACTTAATTTCTGTAAAAATTAGATAACAATAAATAGTTAAAAAATGGGTTATTTATTTTGTTAGATAGTGTTGGAATATCCTAAACAATATGTATACAGAAAATGTGAGTTGTTTTAAGGTTGGAAAAAGGGCAAAGGAATGGTACCATGAAAGGTTTTTGAGAGGACATGATAATAGAACATAAAGCTTGGAAAAGGATAGGTGAAAATGAATTTTTGTGTTGGGGAAATTGGAGGGATCTCTTTTGAATTAAACATATTTACAAGGATTTAACCATTTCAGATTTGGGGGAGATTTCTACTCATTTGTTTTTCAATAATTATGTTGTTTTTCCATATAATATCGGATGTAAGTTATAATAGTAAATTTTATTGCATTTTATGTCATGAATCAAATTATAAATAATTATTATTTTCTATTATTTATGTGAATCAAACTTGTAGTAAAATTGATCCAATTGCATGATAGTATTTAAATATTTAATTTATTGATTAGCACACAATCTCTCTCTCTTTATATATAAACCAACCGCATGAGACAGAGAAAATTGAAAGCCCTTCACATGAAGTATATGATTGAATGATTCAAATACTTAAAAAGGAAGGTTTTTCTTTTATTTTTATTTTTATTTTTTAGGTGGCAATGGCATATGTTTGTAGAGTATAGCTTGATAATGATGGGTCCATCACAGCCTAACAGGTAGCGATGAAATCAAATCAAAAGCCTTTCAGTGGACCCCCTTTTTGTCCAAACACAAAAAATTTATATGCCCAAAGGGGTCCCTCTCTCATGCCTTGCCTTTATTGTTGGTTTCAATCTTTCTTCTTTCCTTTGGTTAAAATGTCTGTGGCTTTGAATTGATTTATTTGCTTTCACTTTTCCAAACAATAATAATGCAAAGGGGAAGTGTAAATAATGGAGAAATATATCCTATTAATTATTAATTAAAAAAAAGTTATTTATAGGAATTATAATTCAATTGATACGGAGAGAAGTTCATTTTCTTCGTCAACCAAGTTTGATCTTTTAAAAAAAACGTTTCGAGAATAAAATCGTGAATATATCATGTTGATATCAAATAATCTAATGCACGGGGAAGAGATTAAATTCAAATAAAACTTGAGAATATTCTTTAAATGTATTATGCTACTGGTTGTGGTGTAAAACTGTGAATTCAATACAAAATGAGAGAGAAAATTTATATTATTTTTTGATCATCCCCAGAAGCTTAATAAAATGATTGGGTGATAATTTATATCTGGTGGTTGGCCATGAGAGAGATAAAATTAATTAAGATTGGCAGCTTATAAAAATGTGAATGGGGCTCATACCATGGCAGTGGACCAAGCTTAAAAACTGGCAGCAAAAGCTTTGACAAGCAACACGTCTCGGTGGGTCTTTAAATCCTACCAGATTGCCCGTCACACTTGGTAATGCCTCCTTCCAACCCCAAGGGAAACGAAAAACAAAAGGAAATTTGTCTGTGATAATGCTGTCAATTGTTATATTTTACATATAATATTTATACTAATTCAAGATTTGCTATAACAGAAATTTCGAGCATGAAAACGTACTTGATTCTTCATACATGATTTTACAGTAGACAGCGAACTGCAAAATCCTGCAATGCTTCTCCAAAACGGTGTCAAATTTTGATATGACCTGAAGCTGAGATTGGCATGAAAAGATCTTGGAGCTATGGAAATTGGTACAACGAGGTGGAGGGCAGGCTGTGAAAACTTTGTAGGACTGTTGAACCATTGATATTTATCTGCAATTTTGAACCTAAGCATCTTGGTTTGGATTCCTGACAAAGGGCTCATATCTGTAAGCAGGTCAAGTCCATAAGAATAAAGCCTCATTATTGTAGCTTGGGATGAGGTTTTTTCCATTGGTGAGCCTGTGACAGAGCCTGAGCATGAGATATTTCCAACAGGCCTACACTGCCTGGTCAGATGAAGCAAATCAGGGCTTTGGGCTAACTCCATTTGACAATAATTGATGTAGTGATTCTAGCAATGGGTTAAAGTTCTCTATGACCCTGTTTGAGCCCAAAATTCAGAAGGCTTTTTGGGTCACTTTTGGCCCAAAATGTTCTCTTTGTCCACCAAATCCTCTCTAAGAACCCTAATTTCCATTTTTTCTTTACATTCAATTAAGAATTGATCTAATACTATATTGAGATTCACTTCCTTTAACTCTCTGATTTTTTCTCCTCTTCATACTATTTCACTAATTAGCTTATCCCATGTTTTGAGTATTTGCAACTTTATTTTGGACCTGCGATCCGTACTCATACACTCTTGATGTTAATAAAAAATTGATAATCATTAAATTCAATATTATTTAATATTTTTTAATCCATGTAACATATTTCATACAAACTTTTACTTAATCACATCAGTTGTTACGTGAATACATTACATATAAACAATAAGTATCAATTAACATTGCTGTTAATTTTATTAGGATGTAATTAAAAATAAAAATTTAGTTGTATAAATAAAGATAGTTTAGTGTTTTTTTAATAATTAAATAAAAATTAAAAGACATAAATATTTTTTAATTTAATATTGTTAGCAACCTCCTAGAATATTCTCTTTTGTTTGATAACGCAGTTGGAAACGTTGAACAGGAAACCTAAATCCTTGGTCGGTTGACGTCATTTTTGTCTAAATTTATTAATTATGACGATTATTTTATTTTATTTTAATTTTTTTCCATATTAAAATCAGCTCCTTTCCTTAGCAACGTTACCTTAACTTAGCCTCGACGTCCTCACCTCAGCTTTGACCAATCACAACAAACTACCCAACGCGTTCCATCACCGCTTCTTCATCGAGGCCGCTCATCCGCCGCCCGCGCTAGATCTTCCCTCTGCCCTCCCCCCTTCTATAAAACCCAACACCCTTTTTTCCCTCCTCTCACAATTTTTCAACGCAACGCCCCCGCAAAACAACAAACAAAGAAACCAGCTTTTCGTTTCTGTCATGGCTCAAGGAGATTCCAAATTTCAACAAGACATGGTGTTGTAAATGAATCATCTTTTTTTTTTGATCAAATTTTTCGATTTTGTTTCTGGGATTTGCTTAATTGGGTGTTTTTTGTTTTTGGGAAATGGAAAATCTGAAGGCTAAGGAGGAAGAACAGAGCCTGAAATACTTGGAATTCGTGCAAGTAGCAGCTGTCTACGCGGTTTTGTGCTTCACCAACCTCTACGTTTACGCTAAGGAAAGGTCGGGACCGTTGAAGCCCGGCGTCGAGACCGTCGAGGGAACGGTTAAGAGCGTGGTTCGACCGGTTTATTATAAGTACCACGATGTCCCCGTTGAGTTCCTTAAATTCGTCGATCGCAAGGTAATTGTGATGATGGGGAAATTGGGAAAAATTTTTTGGGTTGTGTTTCAATTTGCAATGGGGATTCAAGAATTCTTCTTTTGTTTCATTGCAGGTTGGTGAATCTGTGACTTCGATCGACCGTCGTGTCCGTCCGGTCATCAAGCAGGTCTCCTCCGAAGCCTTCTCGGCTGCCCAAAAGGCTCCGGGAGTGGCTCGGGGCGTGGCTTCCGAGGTCCAGCGAGCCGGAGTGGTGAGCACTGCCTCAGGGTACGCGAAATCTGTCTACACCAAGTACGAGCCAGCAGCGAAAGGGCTTTACGCTAAGTATGAACCCAAAGCTGAACAATGTGCTGTTTCGGCCTGGCGCAAGCTGAACCAGCTCCCTCTCTTCCCTCAGGTGGCTTCCGTAGTCGTCCCCACCGCCGCCTACTGTACCGACAAGTACAACCAGACGGTGGCTAGCAGCGCGGAGAAAGGGTACAAGGTTGCCTCGTATTTGCCGTTGGTTCCTACTGAGAAGATCGCCAAGGTGTTCAGTGAAGAGAAGCCTGAATCAGAGCCACTGCTTTCCCAAAGTTGATTTTTGCTTTTGCTGTGTGTTTGTGCACAATCTGATTATGTTTAATTGGTAGTTATAACCCTGTTTTCCTCCATTGTTGTCCTTGTGTTCCTCTTTTCTTTCTTTCCTTTTTTATATAATAAATATTTATAGGAAAATATATTTAATATTTATATAAATAAAATGTAAATTTTGAATATTGAAAATCGATTAAAACAATTAATCTTAATTAATTAATATTGAAATTTAAGAAAATAAAATTGAATTTTCTGAATTCAATCTATCATTTGGAGAAAGGAAGGACTTTTTGATTATCCCAAATGCTATGGGAGATACCCTGTTTACTACTAATGCTCCATAATTTTTAATAGTAATAATAATAAAGTATTTATTACTAACTTAATATTAATTTAAGTTGATTATAATATTTAAGAAGGAATGTAAAATAAGTTTTTTTTAAACTATACTCTTTCCTTCTTTTTATTTAATTTAATTTTTCTTTATTGAATATCCAGAATAAAGTAATTTCTTTTCATTTTTCTCATCTATTTTTTTATTTTTATATTAAAATTATTGAACAATTATATTGTAATTTTTTTAAAAATTTAAATGTAAAATATATCAAATTCAATTTTTTTTATTTTAATTCTTTAAAATAAAAAAACAAACATATAGAGAAGGATTTAAGGATGGAAATAATAATTTTTTTACAAAAATATTTGTAAAAAGAGATATAACTTGTAAGCCCAAGTGACAGAAGAAGCCCAAAAAAGACCCAAAACCAAACCCGAATTGTAGGTTTTTTCGGGTCATCTACGACCCGGCCCTACTACCACTACTACTTCCCAGTTTCCAGATTGAACTGAAAGAACAGAACGTCATTCTTCTTCCTGTCGAACTCCACATCAGAAAAAGAGAAAAAAAAAAAAAGGGAAAAATTCAAACTTCACAAAAAAAAGCATGGCGAGTTGCCTGCACGCGCCAATGGCTTACACAATCCCGTCCTCCGCTTCTTCCCAATCCGTTCGAAGACCGAAGGCTTTGACGCTTAGTTGCCGCGCTTTCGGTTCCAAAAGCGCCGCTAAAATCCCCATGCCTCCGATAAACCCTAAGGACCCGTTTCTCTCGAAGCTCGCTTCTGTCGCCACTTCCTCCCCAGAAACGCTTCTTAACCGTCCGGTTAATCCTGATACGCCGCCGTATTTGGACTTGTTTGAGTCGCCCACTCTCATGGCTACTCCGGCTCAAGTAAGTGTAATTGTCGATAAATATTTGGTTAAACTTTTTAATTGCCTTTGAATATCAGAATTATTAAAACAACTTTCTTTTTCCAACTTAATTAAATTAGGCTTTTAATTTTAGTGATTAAATTTGGATTAACCGAAATAACGTGAATTAAACATTTATTGGCTGAATTAGGTGGAAAGATCAGTTTCATACAATGAGCACCGGCCGCGGAGGCCTCCGCCGGACTTACCTTCATTGCTTCTTCATGGTAGAATAGTTTACATTGGCATGCCGGTAAGTCTTTTCAATAAGGAAGAGCGGGGTGGGGGGTTAATATTTATTTCAAAATTGATTGTATAAAAATTCCGAAACAAGGGGGGACAACTGCGTCCATTTTTTTGCGTCTTTTTTAGCATCCTTACAGTCTTGGGTTTTCATGTTCTTGCATTTAGCTAGAGTTATGAGATGTTCATTGGTCACACTATTACATTGTTATTTTAATCTGTTCGACCGGTTAACCATTTTCATCGTTCAGCTTGTGCCTGCGGTGACAGAGCTCGTAGTTGCAGAATTGATGTATCTTCAGTGGATGGATCCCAAGCAACCAATATATCTTTACATAAATTCTACAGGGACAACTCGTGATGATGGTGAAACGGTGAGCATTGCATATGATGCCTATAAGTTTGATAATAAAGAGATGTCTTGTTGAAGATGTAATCCATTTTGTATTTCCATAGCTTCTGGACATGTTGCTATCATTTGATAGATGTCATAAGACATCAAGTAAGCCAAGTCGTGTTCAAAGGTTGTATTTTGGCAGTGTTGTGTAAATTTAGTGTATCCTGTTAAACACTAGACTGCTTTGTGCTCCTGAATGGCCCCTACACTGTATGCACCACCGTTTTGTTCTTCCTTGGTGGTGCTTCTACTGCTTGCTATTCGCACTTGTATTATGTTTGTGTTTTCTTTCCGGTCCATATTTACATAATTTAAAACTGCTTATGCCACAGGTTGGAATGGAGACTGAGGGTTTTGCAATCTATGATGCACTTATGAATTTACAAAATGAGGTAAATTTCTTTCTTAAAAGATATCAATTTCTCTCGTTTGCAATATTTTAATAAGGATATTAAGTTTTTCTCTGGATCTCTGCTCAGTTTTTTCTTGTTTTTGTTCAAGAATGATATGATCTTACTAGTCAACCTTTTATTTTTTCTTGGTATTCCTTCATAACATGGTAATTGTTGCTTATACAGATACATACAGTCGCTGTTGGGGCTGCTATAGGTCAGGCTTGTCTTTTACTTTCAGCAGGAACTAAGGGTAAACGGTTTATGATGCCTCATGCCAAAGGTATGATGCAGTTTCCTGCTTGTCCGTGGTTCTAAATTTTTATGATTCCATCTTATCTTTAAAATACAACTTCTCAAGCGTTGGCGTATATTTTGTTTCAGCTATGATCCAACAGCCTCGTATACCATCATCTGGACTGATGCCAGCAAGTGATGTTCTTATACGTGCCAAGGAGGTTTGTTTAAACTTCTTGTTCTTTACATTTAAATGCAATTAAGCATGGCCTTGTGCTCTGATACAATAATATTTGATCTGGATTTGCATTTTTCTTTAATTGTTCATCTTGGGCTCTTCTTTGAGTCTTGCACAGCCTTTTGAGAGATTGCAATTTATGAATCTAAATTGCAGCATGAAGCCCTCTGACTGTGATTTGGTTTTGCAGGTAATAATAAACAGGGACATACTAGTGGAACTTCTGGCCAAGCACACAGGAAATGTAAGTGTGATGAATATATGTTAGTCTTCTTTGTTAGATATAAAATTTGCAAAAATGAAGGAACTCATTGTATTGCTTTCTATATCATTAGTCAGTAGAGACGGTAGCCAGTGCGATGAAAAGACCATTTTATATGGATGCTAGCAGAGCTAAAGAGTTTGGGGTCATTGACAAGGTGAGTGCAGTATAATTATAATTTTTGGTATTTCATCTTTCATGATACCTATCTGAGGGCATGTGTTTTGCGTGCAGATCCTTTGGCGTGGTCAGGAAAAGGTAATGGCAGAAGTTGCTGCTCCAGAGGAGTGGGACAAGAATGCTGGCATCAAAGTCGTGGATGGCTTTTAGTGTTTGGGTGGCGGACGCTTGTCATTGTAAGTGAAGTCTCCTTCACCCTGCTTTTGCAGAACTAATCTTTGGCTGAGTAGGGACACTGCTTCTGTAGTGAAATGTTGGTTTTAGACCATTTGTTTGGAAGGAGCTGCTTTTGACCAGATTGGCTTAGTGGCACTAAGATATTTATGCTTTTCCTAGTGTGATAATTGAAATTGAATAAAAACAACTAGAGATAAAAATGTAAATTACGAATGCAGTGATTTTATGCTTTTGTAGAATTATCCTCGTATTCCCAGAGCTCTGTCAAACAATGCTGGTAGTTTGAACCATTCATTTTTGTCTGTTGCCATGTTTTTAGACGCTTAATTCTGTTTGTGCTGCAGAAATTTCGACCCATTGGACTGCCTATATAAATTCCATAACAGAGTTCAATCCGGTAGAATACCCTTGTCGTCTTTTCGGGAGTCTTGAATATTCAGAGACACACCTGTTATGAGCAGAATTTTAACGATACACTGGAATAGATCGCAGGTCGATGGCATACTTGATGAAGATGGAACCCAGGGATGCACCAACAGATTTAAGGAAAGATACCAGAGCAATGGTCCTTTTAAGTTTTGTGGTCAAATTCTGTATAATCTTACAGATTGTGATAATTTAGCCTTCCATGCCACTTGCTAGCGTTGTAAACCAGTTTTCTCCTTTTAAACTTTTATCATAAGCCTGTCCGTACTAATTTAACATCATTAGCCACCAGGAGGGCCCATGTTTCATATCATTTTATAGTTTTAACTTCTCCATATTAGTATCTTATGGATATTTTTATTTTTTAAATTATATCTTGTGAATAATTTCTGTTTAAATCGATAATTATGTTTATTAAAACTACAAAAATATCCTTAAGCGTGGATTAAAATTACAAAAATATCTTTAAACAAGGATTTGTCGCCCAAATCGTATCTCCTCACGTAATCAACGGTTTTAATGGACCCACCACCCATAAGCTGACGTGGCAAAATCTAATCGAATCACCTTTCCAAGTTCTAAGGGAGCTCACAGGAAAACAACTGTTTACAGAAAGGAGGGGAATTTGCCAATGGGCAATACCTCACTTTCCCTCCGATTCACCATTTTGCTTTCTCTTTCTTTCGCAGCTTCTTCCTCGTCTCCCTTCTTCTTCTCCAAATCCCCATCCTTATCGCCTTCGATTCCCAAAGCTACGCCGTCCGATTTGCTCTCTCTCCTCGGCCCGCCATCGCAGTCTTCCTCGGTCAACCCTTCGGTCGCCGATGAACTCAAATCCTGCTTCAAATTCCTCGTACCCTTCACTCCCATCGATACCCGAAAAACCGCAGATTCCAAATCGCTTTCTTATAGACGGTTCTTACTTAAGAGTCCAAGAGATGAGGAAAACGAGCTCGTTTGGTGGCCTCCCGAACCGGTTCTCGAACTGGCCAGGCTCGCTGTTGACTCTGGTGGTGATCCCGGTTCAATCCATCGCGCCCTTGATCCAACTGTCTTGCCTGTAAGTTTTTAGTTGATTCAACTCCGTGTTCTCACATCTGAAAGCAGTGAACTTTTCCATAATTGGTGGGTTTCAGCTGATGAACGGCTGGGATTTTGCGTGAATTAGGTGCCTGATGTCGAAGGATCAAAGGAAAATAAATGTGGGCTAACCAGAACGCCCTATGGTCGACGCTTCATAAGTCAGGTTTATAAACCAAGCTCTTCAATACTTTTGGTATTTTCCCCGAAACTTATTTAGATGTTTAGCTTATATTTGGCTTTTCTGAAATTGCAGGAGTTGAATTCATATCTTGAATACTTGTTCAAACTTATTGTTGAGAGGGGTCCTTCTGTTGGATTGAAAGTTTCATTAACTCGATATGATTTGTTTCATGGTCACCTTTTTATTGCCACAGAGACCGGAAGGCTTGGCATATTGTAAGCTTTATCTTTTTGCATGATCAATCTGCTTGTGCAGGGGAGATGTAATTTGCATAGAACTCAAATTGGAAAAATGTTGAATAAAGAAGTTAGGTGACAGCTTCTGGAAATTTTTATTATCAAAATTCAAGGGCCAGTATTCATATGGCAAATTTGAACCTCTTTGGTTTTGTAACTTGGGGTATCATTGTTTTGATCAGCTTCTTTTGTGAAGCCTTAGACCTTTAGGAAAATGTATGAAATTGGTGAAGAATTATTATGTCTAGAGATGCTGTAAACTGTGATTATTAGTAAGGGACTGGTCACTTTTTTAGAGTTGGAAGCTTATATGAAAAAGGGAAGGAAAAAGGATAAGATGGATAATGGTTTCTACCAGAAAAACTTTTACCAACCTATTACTTTTGAACGCTTGCATGTTCCTAACTTGTTGCATTTGGATGGCAGATTTCATGCTAAAGAATACCCAGCATATGATAAAGACGTGTTTCCAATCAACATGGGATATTGCCAGAAGGGTAAAATATGATGTTTTCTTTGATCTATAGGAAGCAGTGTTACATTTTCTAGTGGCTTCTTACTATTTAAAGACACAACATATATGAATCCAATACTGTGATGTTTTGTCCTCTATCCATTATTGATTACATTTGCTCTTTCCAGGGTCCAACGTGACTTATGATGATGCAATGAACTTGAGAAATATTCTCTGGCTTGCTCCATTGCCAAGCAATTCAACAAAAGGTTGGATGGCTCCAGGTAGGTCTTTCTGTAGGTTCCAAGTTCATTGCTACTAAAAATACCAGAAACAATCTGTTCTCTGCACCTACAGAACTTTTGTAGTTAATGCAAAAATGAAATTTGGAACTGAAAAGATTCTACTACTGTTTCTCTATTTTGAAAGAAGAGGATTCAATATTTATTAGCTTGGTCATGACAATGATTTGACAGGAGTCCTGCTCGTCCTGGATGCGCGTCCCGGAGGAATCATATATAAGGATCTCATACCTGAGTATGTGAATTATGTGAGGACAATATACGAAGGTTTGGTTAACCATTTGTCTTTATACTAGTGTTATTTGTATAGTTAAGCATATGTATGCATTTTTTGCATTACTTAATGGAATGACTTAGCAATTGGCACAAAATTTCTTGGTTTTGGCCAGATGATCTGGGCAGTGTTGTCGTTGATGTAAACTATCTGAACATTGGAGATCCACAGCCTGATTATCAGATTTTCATTTGCTGATTCTTCTTTGGGTAAATGCTCTCCTTTTATCACTTGAACGATCCTAATCCACTCAAGTGCCTTCCAATCTTCATCATTGGAAACATACTCAATGCTTCATCCTGTCTAGGTGGTTTTGTCAGTAGCAGATTATCAATTCTTTTACATGATCCTCAGAATGGAGGTTGAGCCAAAGATGAGCATGAAATCCGACCATTGTTTCAATAATTGGTGCAGAAAACCAGGGTGGAGGATTGGACTTTTGGAAGCTTGGATGCTCAAAATGCCAAGCCAGTGTTTCTGACTGTTTAATGTCCAAAAAGCCTCACTTTTTAGTTAAAACGTCAAATGTCTAATTGATTTTGATTTGTAGAAAGAAACTTTAGAAACCATGAATGCAACATACTTGCCCAAGTTCTGTTTTGATGGAGTGTCAGCCATCTCACATTTATGCTTGTCTTACAAGTTTTAATCCATGTTAGAGATTCCTCCTGACATGCCTTGATCTTAATAATGCATAATTAAGTCTCTATTTCTTTATTCTACTCAAGCAAGCCTTTTTCCTTAATTTGTATTCACACGAGCTCTTAATCTTTATGTAAAATTAGCAATCTTCGGACATTAAGTCCGATTGTATTTTTTATCCCTATGACATATAACGTGATCAAGTGATTGGTTTCACATCAATTGTCACACCATGTTACGTAGATAGAAAACAACAATTGATATTTGAGTCCAAATATTGTTAATTTTCTGATAGAGTTGAGTGTTGTGTGGGTACAAATCAGAAAATAAAAACTTAATTGGATATTTAAAAAAAATTAAGGGGTTAATTGTATAAATTTACATAGTTGAAGGACTTTTTTGTAATACTAAAAAGGCCAGCCTTCGTTTTTCAGGGCCTGCAAACTTCTGTGAAGTTTAAGCCCAAAGTGGCCCAGCCCAGATGAGATTTTTAAAACAAAGCTCTCTCTGATAGCTAAAGCCTCAATGTTCCCCGAAGTTTTAAGGTTACACGTGTCACATTACAATGGGTCGTATTCACTTCTGACGTGTCAACAGTGGCCCCGGTTTAACCCACCAAAGGATCTTATCCAAAACTCGACAGTCAAATAATAAAAGGCAACTTTGATCAGGCAACCCGACCCGATACATTTTTTTATGATGATTATGATAATAAATATGAACTTGACTTGGATTTATTATTATAAAAAAAGAAAATCAAAAATTATTTTTAATATTAAACTACTGATCCTAAGCTATTTGTAAATTGTAATTGTAATTTTTTCTCAAGTCAAGTTATTATATATATAAAATTAAAACATTACAAAATTAATTTTAAAGATAAAATATTTGTTTTTTTGTTTATAATTCCATCCCACCAATCACATCATAATTATTAAAATTTAATACAATAAGAGAAAATTACTGAAACAATAATAATTATGTTGTTATTCATTATAATTATACCATTATTATTAGTAATAATGTAATTGAGCCTACTACTTGAGTTGCTTAAGTTTGGCTCAACGATGATCAAAGTATATTTGATTCCACTGAATTGCTTAGCTTATGTTATTATTATTAGTGATAATAAGATATTTTATTTTTCATTAATTAGTGTATTCATTCTATTGTACTATTTTTTATACATGTAACTAAAGCAAATTTCATTATTATCAAAAAGAATTGCTACAAGGATAAAAAAATCATCACAAAATAATAATCTTATGAATTAAAATTTGAAAAAATATCTTTACTAATAAGTGCTTGTTTGTCTTAGTTTTTTTTCAACTTATATATATCTTAAAAGCAAAAGTCACACCAAAACATAAATTTTGAAAAACTCTTAAAAAAAATAATTTTTTAAATAATAAAATTAAAAAAAAAACTTTAGGAAAAGCTCCTATGAGGAGTTTTTTCTTCTCTTTTTTAAAAATATAAAAAATATTTATTTTTATTTTAAAAATATCCTCATCTATTAAAAATAATTACAATATAATTTTTTTTAAAAAAATACTATTTACGATAATTTTAACCAAAATTATCACTTATAAAAAAAAACTTATAAAAAAATTTATCAAACAACTTAAGCTTAATTCTAAAAGTTATTATTTTTCATAAGAGCTTAATAAGAGTTTTTAAGGATAATTTTTTTTAGAAAATATAATAATGAAAATCAAAATTCAATTTATATTTTAAATAAATCAAAAAACTATTCAAACAAGATATTAAAATATTTTTAAAAATAGCCTAATCCTCCGACAACCCGACCCGATATGGTAAATGGTCAGTTATAATCCCCGCCGCCTCGTCAGGTTCTCTTTTGCACTTCTCTGTCTCCGCTCTTCAGACTCGCACTTCCATGCTATTTTAATCAGATCAACAAAAAAAAAAAGAAATAGAGGAATTCTCTCTTTATTCTATCAGAGATTCGCTGAAAAAAGAAAGAAGAAGCAAAAGTAATGGGCGTGCAGTGGATAGACAGGGGAGATCTATGGAAGAACAAGGCTCGCGTTTTACAGCTCCAGCTCAGGCAGCGGTTCAGGGTAGCGGTTGATCGCCATCGCCGCCACCGTCATTCGATGTTCGCTGACTGTTACTTCTCCTCCACGGTCCAACGCTGGCTCCGTCGTTTCCATGACTTCCGTCGCGATTCTCTCCATTCTTCCTCCGCTTTCTACCGCAAACGAGGTCGCTGTTTTTTTGTTTTTCCCGCTCTGAATCTGATGTCTTCTCTTGATTAAAACTTTTTTTTTGGGTATTTTAGGAATTAAAATTCATTTACGTTGCTGGTAACTGCAGTGAGTAAGGACTTTAATGTGGAGGAGGACTCAGTTATTTTTCGAACGCTTCAAGCTGTGGCTGTTCCTTTGATTGGAAATGTTTGCCATGTTTTCATGAATGGTCTCAATCGCGTTCAAGTATGTAGGATTTTTGTATGATTGAGAATTCTTTGTGTGTATATCGCGGTTTGTAAGAATTAATGTCTTTCTCTTTTCTGTCAGGTTTATGGCCTTGAAAAATTACACGACGCATTGCTTAATAGACCCAAGAACAAACCCCTTATAACGGTATGAGCTATGGTTTTTTGCTATTGATCAGTTTTAGCTTGTCCTCAATGTGTTTCTCTTATTTGTGATCCTGTTATTATGTGTAGCTTATGCTGATGAGGGAACGGTTTTATTGTTTTTTGAAATTCATTGCAGGTAAGCAATCATGTTGCTTCTGTTGATGATCCGTTTGTCATTGCGTCGCTGCTTCCTCCGAGAGTTCTTCTGGATGCTCAGAACTTGAGATGGACACTGTGTGCATCCGATCGATGTTTCACTAATCCTGTGACTTCTGCATTCTTTCGCTCTGTAAAAGTGTTGCCAGTGTCTCGTGGTGATGGGATATATCAGAAGGTACCCCTTTTTAAGTTTTTGAAATATTCTTCGTAAGCATGGAACAGTGAATGTTAAATATTGAATGATCGAGTTGATAACTAGACTGCATTGTGCAGATGAATTTAGAATCCTTGCATTGGGAAATTTACAGTATGAATTGTTGAGATGAGGGGCATTTAACTGAAGAAACGGGAAACAAAAGGAGGGAGATGTTATTGGCATTTGACCTTCTGTGAAATGGAAATGATGGCCGATGTCCTAGAATGGTCTGATTGTAGACTCATACTGATTTGTTTTGTCAATGTGTAAACATGCTAGTACGATTATATTTGGTTTACATGCATATTGTTTACTGTTTTTATGGGACTAGGTTTCTTTGTTCTTTCCTTGAACTTCTTATGCTGCATCCTGGAGTTCTGTAATATGGTCTAGGCCTGAGATATTTGCTGTATTGGTAGGTTTGTGATACAGTATAGTTTAGGTTCATCTGCATGTCTATCCCTTTCTTCATTTCTTTGTTTCATGTATGGCAGTTATGTCCATTTCATCCTTTTGGTTCAATTTGTTGTAGGGCATGGACATAGCTATTTCAAAGTTGAATAGTGGTGGATGGGTTCACATCTTCCCAGAAGGCAGTCGTTCTCGAGATGGTGGAAAAACTGTGAGGTCTTCCAAGAGAGGTGTTGCGAGGTAAGAGTTTGTTGATAACTTACCTTTAAGAGATGAGAGTTAAGTCTCCTTCTAGCTGGAAATAAACTGGTCTCATCTCTTCTCTGATAAAATCTGTATTAAGAAATTGATTTGTCCAATTATGTCTGTTGCTTTTTCTTTTCTTCCTTTGCTTTTTCTGTCCTTTCCTTCTTCCGTGTCAGTTACAAAATACATTTAACAACCTAATGGTGATACAGGTTGGTTCTAGATGCAGACAATACCCCAATTGTCCTGCCATTTGTGCATATTGGAATGCAAGATGTTATGCCTATAGGAGCCAACTTCCCAAGGATTGGCAAGACGGTATGTGGTCTTGCTATTCTTTCTTTTGCTAGATAGACATTCTTAAAGTTTCCATTCCACTCAATTCTGGCAATAAGGTTGTAAGTTTAACGGCCTCCTGTGAGTAATTGTACTGTCTGTAATGCGTGACTTTGCAATGTTTTAAACATGTTCAGCTATAGGCTGCAAATGCCTCCCTCATCATTCCATTTTAAGTAACATTGTTTTTTTTTTCTCTCTCCCCTATTTTAACATCTCAACCCTTCTCCACTCTTCCCTTCTTCACTTCCCTAAACCTCTTTTCCCATATTGGGCTTGACAAGCAAATCCTTGCTAATGGCTGGTTATATCATAGTTTTATGTTTATGATCACATTTGCTCTCATGAAGTGATATGTTGATTTCTTCATTTCCTTTCCCCTTTTTTTTTGCCTACTCTAACTGATGATTTCTCTTAACGCATAAAATTTTGTAGGTGACAGTTCTAATTGGAGACCCTATACATTTTGATGACCTGCTTGATGTGGAGGAACCCGTGGATGCATCAAGAGGAAAATTGTACGATGCTGTGGCCTCTAGAATCGGGCATCACCTGCAGAACTTAAAAGTACAAGTTGACAAATTAGTGCTCGAGCAATCTATCCAGTTGGAAAATCATCACATCAATGGTGCAGAAAGGACAGCTGATATCCTGCATCAGATAGATTGGGATCCATTTGGCTTAGGAAGCAATGGATGTATGGTGGATGAATCACCGGGACAAGAAACCGAAGGCCAGCTGAAGCCAAATGCTGTTACCTCTCCAGAAGAGTCCTCTCCCGATGATCATCGATATTTTAGAATGGGGTTTTCTTTTGAAGGTGGGATTGCATCAAGGATTCGCAGTTACATGGATCCAACCGAACTGATGGGTTTTGCAGCTAGAGGCTTGTTCATGAACCCCAGAGCAAAGGAAAATTCTGCTACCATTAGGGACATACGCCCGCAGAGGGCTTGGAAACAGTTTTTGGAAGCTAATTTGTTAGTTCAACGGTGGAATACCT